AGCTCGATCATAATTCTTAAATGATTAATTTCTAATACAAGTAACGCCCTTGCAAAACATAAAATTCTCACCCTCATACGGGCATTTGCCAAAGCAAGAAAGTAGACATAGTCTCTCTTGTTCACATCGTCAGGTTCCTCTCTCAAAAGCTCTAAAAGACTCAGAATTAAAACAGCTAGCAATATCTACCATGAAGAGGGGTCGAACAAAATTGCGAGAGGAAATTGTAGAAATGCCTCCTCAAAAAGAACCGTACCAGCACATTTTACGAAGACTATAACTACTTTAACTATACTAACTACTTTACATATACGAAGACTATAACTCTTTTAGAAACTTGTACTGCGCGTGGAATTTGAACGAGTAACCGTTTTTTCGATGGATAAACCCCAAACTGAAAGCTAGAATCCGGCCAGACACATTTGCATCAATTTTGCTCAAATTATTCTTAGAAAAAAAAAAGTTTCAGCGCAAAATGAAAGCTTGTGCTCAATGTCTAAAAAATTTTCAGAGCTTCGCTAATTGCTAAAGGAATTACAAAAATCTAAGATGACCCCAAAATATACATCGGATGCGATGCTTTTCAACCAGTTCACTGCAAAAAGTACATCTCCGAGATTCTTGGAAATGTAGCCGTTCTCTGGGAAATATGGGACCGCGTAGACACCTTTACTTGAAGCCCTCCCTCTACATGAACTTGAAAGTACATTATAAAGGCCCTTGTTCTATTACCCTCAACTTCTAGTGATTCAAAAATATGCTAGATCCCTTACGCTGATGAAACCGCATATTCCATATGTACCGCTGTGAAAAAATAACAAAGAACTGGAATGCGTCAAACTACAAAAAACGCACTTTCTAAAAGGTTGATTCCCTCTGCGACATCTTGTTTAGTCGAGCGTATGAGCGCAGTTCCGTAGTTGAACGTGGCAATAGCACTGGGAGGCCCTCGTCGACACTGTGTTTCGTAAGCCTCACGGAATCTCTGAAAGAAAAAGGGCGTATAGGGAAGAAAAAATCTTTGATGACAAACATGTGACAGAAACCCTTTCCACTGCAACAACAATGTTTGAAAATGATTCATAGATGTGAGTCAGCAAATGTTTTCTTTCCATCGAAATAATAAATTTCTGCGAGCAGATCTCATTTCGACTACATGCTTCGTTCCTCTTAGCCGAATCTATTTTCATGCATAATATCTCTGCAAACCATAATCTGTACAAATACCACGAAGTGCTCGAGTGCTATTTTGGCCAAAAATCAATGTTTGTACATAGCAGATTTCCCTTGAAGTACTGGCTTATTGGCTGAACGCACGCTCAGCTTCAGAGCTAGTGCTGAATAGAATGGAGTCCTCTACATGACTTGATGAATCATCTGACGGAAACTTATGCAACAAAGCATGTTTGCGCCGTCCATACGGGTGTTAACAAATGTATTTCGCAAAATTCAATAGTCTGTACAATCGATATTAGTTCACAACCATTCCGTGTTTATCGAAGTTTCGCAACTGGTTTCAATTTGTGGGACAAGACAAAAAGCAATCGCAGTTACGGTATACTCTGGCTTTGAAAATCGTTGAGCGAACTAGAGACGGGCCCTAGCTAGTGTTTTCATATTTTTATATAAGAAAATGAGAGGATGTCATTAAGTATGATAACCAGAAGTTTAGCTGCTGCGAAATCATTTGATATGGCTTGTGTTGCTATGAGATTTGTTTATTTCGTATGTTACGATTATAAGACTTGAAAAAAGCTATAGAGAAGTCAAGAATGATACATACCTCTAAATCGTACTGGTCGACGCGTTCATCAAGAATGCTTTCGACATCCATTATCATCTCCGGCCAGTCGAAAATGTTTCGTCTGTCCCGTTTTTCTAAATTTCAATATCACGAGCCTGACAAGGGAGAGGACAGTGAATGTATAGAATAACAACGGAACGACAGTTCACACTTGGTGACAACAAAAAGCTCGGGAGTTCTCAATGACGATTTCATATCACATTTCGACCCGGTAGCAAAACGTGTGCCAATCGACGCTGACGAGCGCATGTTGCGTGTACCGGCCCGCCTATTCTGCGGAATTCAACGCCGTACTATTTCACAACTAGAGGTCGCGAACTTCGCTTTTTATGCTTATCTTCGACA